GATCACAAGGTCAAGAGATCAAGACCATCCTGGCCAACATGGTGAAACCCCGTCTCTACTAAAAATACAAACATTAGCTGGGCGTGGTGGTACACACCTGAAGTCCCAGCTACTCAGGAGACTGAGGCAGGAGAATCGCTTGAACCTCGGAGGCAGAGGTTGCAGTGAGCCAAGATCACTCCACTGTACTCCAGCCTGGTGACAGAGAGAGAGACTCTGTCTTAAAAAAAAAAAAAAAAAAAAAAGGAAAAGAAAAAGAAAAAATATATTCACAGAAGAGATGTATCTAGAGCAACTGGAGCAATAGAGAGGGCTGAGGATGAGGAGAAAATGGTGTTGGAGCCCAGGAGACAGAGGCTAAATCAGAGGTGAAGAAGAATGGGGGCATTTCACTCACAGAAAAGAACCACAACAGAGACAGGACTCATCACTGAGAATCCAGGAGCAGCCCTTAAAGTCCCAAAAAGACAATGTCTCAGAGGAGGAAGGGGAAGCCACAGCGATAGGGTCACTTGCTGACATCCTTCCGGATGTGCTATCACTGCGCAGAAGTCACTTCCACCACTGTGTTTTCCTGAGATAAGTCGGGGAGCCTGAGGGGCACAGAGAGGAGACACGAAGGACGGACGCTTGGTCCGCAGCGCTCTTCACATGCAGATGCACCTGTGTGCTGTGAGCTGCTGGGGGTTATAGAATGCCTTTGGTGGACAGAGGGAACCAGGTTGCAATGTAAGAACATTGTTATGAAGTTCTGGGAAACTGCCTTAAGATCTTTTCCAAGAGGGATACCTGGTTCTTCTCACCTAACTTGTTGGGTTTCCTTTTCTCTAAATATTCACTTCAAGTCTGGGCACTGTGGCTCATGTCTGTAATCCTAACACTTTGGGAGGCTGAAGCCGGACGATGGCTTCAGCCCAGCAATTCGAGACCAGCCTGGGCAACACAGCAAGATTCTGTCTTGACAAAAATAAATTAAAAATTAAAAATTAGCTAAGCATGGTGGTGCATGCCTGTGGTCCCAGCTACTGGGGAGGCAGGAGGATCACTTGAGCCTAGGGGCTCCAACGTACCCTGGGAAACAGAGCAAGACCCTGTCTCAAAACAAATACATGTGCACTTTAATACGTAAGGGCTGTCATAAAATTGTATAAGCCCCCACAACTCCAATTAGCCCCTCAGGAGCACAAATGTTTCTCTCTTCCCTTGCTCCACAGCCTTCTCTGGCTCTCTATTGCTCTCAGCAACCCAAATTGAACACCTGTCTGTAGAGAACTCCATTTTCCGTCAAACTTTTCGCTCAATAGTTACATTTTTAAAAATGTTTTGTAGTGGCTGGGCATGGTGGCTCACACCTGTAATCCCAGCACTTTGGGAGGCCGAGGCAGGCGGATCACCTGAGGTCGGGAGTTCGAGACTAGCCTGACCAACATGTAGAAACCCTGTCTTTATTTAAAAAAAAAAAAAAAGAAAAAGAAAAAAAGAAAAAAGAAAAAGAAAAGAAAAAAATGAAATAAATAAATAAATAAATAAATAATTTTTTAAAAAAAGAAGAAAGGCCGGGCGTGGTGGCTCAAGCCTGTAATCCCAGCACTTTGGGAGGCTGAGGCAGGTGGATCACGAGGTCAAGAGATCGAGACCATCCTGGTCAACATGGTGAAACCCCGTCTCTACTAAAAATACAAAAACATTAGCTGGGCATGGTGGCGCGTGCCTGTAATCCCAGCTACTCAGGAGGCTGAGGCAGGAGAATTGCCTGAACCCAGGAGGCGGAGGTTACGGTGAGCCGAGATCGCACCATTGCACTCCAGCCTGGGTAACAAGAGTGAAACTCCGTCTCAAAAAAAATGTTTTGTAGTGATGGAGATCTCGCTATGGTGCCCAGGCTGGTCTCAAACTTCTAGGCTCAAGCGATCCTCGGCCTTCCAAAGTGCTGGGATTACAGGCGTAAGCCACCACGCCTGGCTAAATTAAAAAAAAAAAAATTGGGTGCCGGGCACAATGGCTCACGCCTGTAATTCCAGCATTTTGGGAGGCCGAGGCAGGCGGATCACCTGAGGTCGGGAGTTCAAGACCAGCCTGGTCAACATGGAGAAACCCCCGTCTCTGGGAAAAAAAAAAAAAAAAAAAAAAAGAGATCAAGACCATCCTGGCCAAGAAGGTGAAACCTCATCGCTACTAAAAATACGAAACTTAGCTGGGCGTGGTGGCGCGCACCTGTAGTCCCAGCTACTTGGGAAGCTGCGAAAGGAGACTCGCTTGAACCCGGGAGGCGGAGGTTGCAGTGAGCTGAGATCGCGCCACTGCACTCCAGCCGGGCAACAGAGCGAGACTCCGTCTCAAAAAAAAAAAAAAAAAAATTGTAGGGATGGGGCGGGGAGAACTTACTATGTTGCCTAGGCTGGTCTCGAACCCCCTGGCTCAAGCAGTCCTCCCGCCTCGGCCTCCCAAAGTGCTGGGATTACGGGCGTGAGCCCCCGCACCGGGCAAACACTAATTTTCTAACGTGGCAGATACCACCTCCTCCTGGGATTCTTCCCAGCCCCGCCTTCCTGCCACTCAGGCCCCGACTCGCTTTAACACACTAGCCCAATCTCCGCCTCTTACGTAAGGCACCGCCCACTCGCCCAGGCCTCCGTGGGAGGGCGTGGCCTTCCCGCAATCCTGAAACCCATTGGCTGTCGCTTCGCTGGCGGGGCACGGGTACGGGAGCCGGGCGGGCACGTTCCGAACCGTGGCTGAGGCGGCGGCGGCGGCGGCGGCTGCAGCGAAGGATGCACCCGGCAGGCTTGGCGGCGGCGGCGGGGACGCCCCGGCTGCGTAAGTGGCGTACGTGGCCGGCGGAGATCAGGAGGGCGGGCCGGCGGGCGGGCGGGGGCGTGGCGGGACGGCCGCGGCGGTTGGCGAGGGCGCTGCAGGTCGGAGGTCACGAGATCAAGGATCTGGAACCCCGAGGTGTGCGCAGCGCTGGGATGCCAGGTCCGGGTAGGGGGCGCCTTGGGGGGCGATTCTTTAGGAAATTCCTTTAGAAGAAAACAACTTGGGACAGGAAAGACTGCGATATGCAGACAAATGCAACTTCCATTCATCTGCAGTTAGCGATCCGCCCTCCCCTGCTCCCCAGCTTTCCGTGGCTTCCCAATGCCCGCCTGCTGCCGCCCACACTCTTAGGGCAGCTTCTTGCTCCCCTGTGAGCGCAGAGGGCCATGCCCGCCGCTCATTTAAGAAGCGAACCTGTATTTATTGTTCTGTAGGCTCCTTTTCCTGTCTCTGAATTTGTCTGTTTACGCTCTTCATGGCCGTAAGTGTGCTGTTTCAGCCTAACTTGCTTCAACTCTCATGTGCCAGGCCCTGCGCTGGAATATGGGTATGGGTACAGTGGTAACCAACATAGCCCTGGTCCTTGCAACTTTACAGCTCAGAGTTTGGAGGGAGGAGAGATGCTTAACTACAAGGAAACTAGCCAACAAGTTAATGGTGAGGGCAGGGCGCAGTGGCTCACGCCTGTAATCCCAACACTTTGGGAGGCCGAAGCGGGCGGATCCCTTGAGACCAGGAGTTCGAGACCACCCGGGCAACATGGTGAAACCCTGTCTCTACTAAAAATACAAAATTAGCCGGGTGTGGTGGCGGGCACCTGTAATCCCAGCTACACGGGAGGCTGAGGCAGAAGAATCGGTTGAAACCGGAAGATGGAGGTTGCAGTAAGCCGAGACAGCGTGATTACACTCCAGCCTGGGCAAGAGTGAGACTCCATCTCAAAAAAAAAAAAAAAAAAAAAAAAAGGCCGGGCACGGTGGTGCGTGCCTGTAGTCCCAGCTACTCGGGAGGCTAAGGCTGGAGGATTGCTTGAGTCCAGGAGTTCTGGGCTGTAGTGCTATGCTCATCGTGTGTCCACAGTAAGTTCACCATCAACATGGTGACCTCCCGGGAACAGGGGACCGACCACCAGGTTGCCTAAGGAGGGGTGAACCAGCCCACGTCGGAAACGGTGCAGGTCAAAACTCCTGTGCTGATCAGTAGTGGGATGGTGCCTGTGAATAGCCACTGCACTCCAGCCTGGGCAACATAGCAAGACCCTCTCTCTGAAAACAAAATTAAATTTAAAAATTTTTCAAAAAAGATAATTGGGGGATTAGTAAAGGCTGTAAAAGGAAGGATCCAGGATGTGACTGGGGGTTGGGGAGGCCTCTCTGTAAAGCAAGAAGGTGTGCTGTGCTGTTCCTCCCTTCAGCCATTACTCCATGCCTGGCTGGCCCTGTGGTGGTGATGTGGGGGCTACAGCAGTGCCCAGACAGCCCCTGTCCCTATCCTCATGGAGCTGCCAGGACCAAAAACAGCAGCAGGCTCCAGCAGTAGAGCTGCTGTGAGAGTGGCCCAGGCAGAAGGGTCGGGGCCGGGATGAGGGAGGCCCAGGCAGAGGGGTCGGGGCCGGGATGAGGGAGGCCCAGGCAGAGGGGTCGGGGCCAGGATGAGGGAGGCCCAGGCAGAGGGGTCGGGGCTGGGATGGGGGTGCCCAGGCAGAGGGGTCAGGGCTAGGATGGAGATGTTGTGGGAGCCAAGGAGGCATGTGACCCAGCTTAGGGTGTCAGTGCAGCTTCTGATGGTGAAGAGTTACCGAGGAGAAGGAGATTTGTGGTGGAAGAGAAAAGCAGGCTGGGTGCAGTGGCTTACACTTGTGATCCCAGCATTTTGGAAAGTCAAGGTGGACGATCACTTGGGGCCAGGAGTTCAAGACCAGCTTGGGTAACATAGTGAAATCCCATCTCTACTAAAAATACAAAAAATTAGCCGGGCGTGGTGGCATGTGCCTGTATTCCCAGCTACTTAGGAGGCTGAGGCTTTAGAATCACTTGAACCTGGGAGACAGGTTGCAGTGGGCCGAGATCGCACCAGCCTGAGCGACAGAGCAAGACTTTGTCTCAAAAAAGGGTGATCCGCCTGCCTCAGCCTCCCAAATGCTCAGCCGACCAGCCTGGCCAACATGGTGAAGCCCTGTCTCTAGTAAAAAGACAAAAAATTAGCCAGGTGTGGGGGCACGCACCAGTAATCCCAGCTACTGGGTTGCATTCAAGGTTGCAATGAGCTGTGATCACATCGCTGCACTCCAGCCTGGGCAAACAGTGAGACTCTGTCTCAAAAAGCAAAAATAAAAAGATCACTCTGGCTGCCCATTGGAGAGGCTGGTGGCAGTGAGAATGGATAGAAGGACCAGGTAGGACACTTAGGTCAGGTGTGAGTTGGCAGTCTGAGACGGGAGGGTGACGTTGAGACATGGTGAGCGAGAACCATGACTGGTTGATTGGATGTCAGGCAGAAGGGGAATCAGGGTTTGGGCATGGAGGTTAGGGCCCCAGGGTCAGCCAGAGGGAGTGCCAGGAAGTGGCCAGACCTGCATCTGGAGCCAGGAGACAAGTGGTGCCTAGAGACAGAGCCCAGAATCTAAACGCACACTGTGGCCAGGAGAGCTGGGGTGTGGGTGTGGTGGCCCTGGGTGAGAGACAGAGGACAAGCGCAAGGGTGGAAAATGAAGTCACACATTTTAGGAAGCTAGGAATGCATGGTCGAATGGGAAGGAGCCATGGAGAGACCATCAGCTCCATGAAGGCAGGAGTTTTGGTTTTGTTTTGTTTTATTTGAGATGGAATCCCGCTCTGTCACCCAGGCTGGAGTGCAATGGCATGATCTCAGCTCACTGCAATCTCTGCCTCCTGAGTTCAAGCAATTCTCCTGCCTCAGCCTCCTGATTACAAGCATATCCCACCACGCCCAGCTAATTTTTGTATTTTTAGTAGAGACAGGGCTTCACCATGTTGGTCAGGCTGGTCTTGAACTCCTGACCTCAGGTGATCCACCTGCCTTGGACTCCCAAAGTGCTGGGATTACAGGCATGAGCCACCACACCTGGCCAAGTTTGGGGTTTTTATTCATTGCTATATCCACCTTGCCCATGGCAGAGCCCTAACACAGAGGGAGATGCTCAGTAGACGCCTGTGGAGTCAGACAGGTAAGAAGAGAAAGTGCTCCTTAAGTGTCCTGGACTCAGAAAGTTGGAGGTTGGCATTCGGGACACTGGTACCAAATGCCACTGAGGGCTTGAGTCAGACAAGTGGAATTTCGTAGTGTAGCTGGGGGCACTTAGGAGGCCTGGTGGGAGCAGAGCCCTGAATGCCAAGAGCTGATGGACTGACAGGGAGGGCGGAAGAGCTCACACCAAAGCATTCAGGAAGCTAGCCCTTCTAGCCAGAAGTGGGAGAGAGAGGCTGGGCCCAGTGACTCACACCTGTAATCCCAGCACTTTGGGAGGCCGAGGCAGGCAGATCACTTGAGGCCAGGAATTCGAGACCAGCCTGGCCAACATGGCGAAACCCTGTCTACTAAAAATACAGAAATTGGCTGGATGGGGTTGGGGGGCACCTGTAATCCCAGCTACTTGGGAGGCTGAGGCAGGAAAATCGCTTGAACCTGGGAGGCGGAGGCTGCAGTGAGCTGAGATCATGCCACTGCACTCCAGCCTGGGAGACAAGAGTGAGACTCTGTCAAAAATAAAAAAGAAGTAGTAGGGGAGAGAAAAGGGAAGTGGGGCTTGCGGAGAGACCGGGGTCTGCAGGCTACAAATAATTGAGAGGAAGAGCTCAAGGCTAGTAGTTGATCAGGAGTGACACGGATGAACTGCTTTTTATGGGACCAAGGAGTTTATGAGCGTCACAACAGCTTTGCAAGGGGGGACATTTAACTCTTATGTAGAGGAGAATGTCCAGTTGCAAAGTCATGACGTGGATAATTCGATTCCTCTCCCCACGCCCGCTGTCATCTGACCACCCATTCCCTGTTCTCCATTGTGTCTGCAATAAAGCCTGGCACATAGTAGGATCACAGCAGATATTTGCAGGGTAGCATTGCTTATTGATTAGGAGCAGAGGCCCTGGACGCAGAGTGTGGGGTTCAAATCCCGCCTCCCCATCTTCTCCATCTCAGTACACAGCACTCCCACTTGCTGCATTACTCAAACCAGAATCTGTGGAGACAGCGTTGGTTCCTCCCTTTTTTTTTTTTTTTTTTTTGAGACGGAGTCCCATTCTGTCTCACAGGCTGGAGTGCAGTGGTGCGATCTTGGCTCACTGCATCCTCTGCCTCCTGGGTTCAAGTGATTTTCCTGCCTCAGCCTCCCCAGTAGCTGGGATTACAGGCACTTGCCACCATGCCCGGGTAATTTTTTATATTTTTAGTAGAGACAAGGTTTCACCATGTTGACCAGGCTGTTCTCGAACTCCTGACCTCAAGTGATCCATCCGCCTAGGTCTCCCAAGGTTCTGGGATTACAAGCAGTAAGTCACTGTGCCCAGCCTCCTCCCACTTCTTAACACACCTCCACTGAGCACGCCTCCAGCAAGTCCTGTCCCCATTACCTCTGAAACTGATCTGGAAATAGCCCATTCCCCTTTTACAACCCAGTCCTGTCTGCCATGGTCTCCCACCTGGACCGCCCCAGCAGCCTCCTTTCTCCCTTCCCTGCCCACCCCTCATCTGTTCCCCACATGAGGCCACGGGGACCTTTTAAAAACTTTTGAAACCTGGCTCTCATACTATGACTTTGGGCAAGGGCGTGGGCCTCTTTAGGGCCTGCTTTTCTCATCTGTAAAATGGGGATGATGATAGCATTGGCAATTGGCAGAAACAGGGTGGTTGTGAAAATGAAATGAGTTCATCCGCAGGATTATTGTAATATTTATAAGGCACAGCAGGGCCGGGCTCCTGCTCTGCCACTTACTCAGTTTGGCCCTTTGCACAAGTCATTTTAACTGTCTGGGCCTTGGTTTCCACACCTGTAAATTTGGGGTGGATGGGTGGGCAGATGTGTGGGTGGATGGGTAGATGGATGGATTGATGGATAAATGGGTGGGTGGATGAATGGATGGATAGATGAATGTATCAGTGGATGGATAGTTGGCTAGATGGGTGGGTAGATGGATGGATGGATAGGTGGATAGATGGATGAATAGATGAGTGAGTGGATAAATGGGTGGATGGATAGATGAATGCATTTGGAGATGGATAGTTGGCTAGATGGGTGGGTGGATGGATGGATGGATAGGTGAATAGATGAGTGAGTGGATAAATGGGTGGATGGATAGATGAATACATCAGGAGAAGGATAGTTGGCTAGATGGATGGGTGGGTGGGTGGATGGCAGAGCCTGCACCTGACAATCCATCTGACGTTGAAGCCAGTCTCTAATGGTGACACCACCCTCCACTGCAGCAGGAGCAGGAGGCAGAGCTGCAGGATGAATGAGGCTTGCCAGGCCTCCCTTACCTATCCTGTGTCCCCAGCGCCCCTCCACCCTTTTCCCTTGCAGCCTCGAAGCGAAGGATCCCTGTGTCTCAGCCGGGCATGGCTGACCCACACCAGCTTTTCGATGACACAAGTTCAGCCCAGAGCCGGGGCTATGGGGCTCAGCGGGCACCTGGAGACCTAAGCTATCCTGCAGCCTCCGCCACGCCCCAGGCAGCCTTCCTGGCTGACCCCGTGTCCAACATGGCCATGGCCTATGGGAGCAGCCTGGCTGCGCAGGGCAAGGAACTGGTGGATAAAAACGTGAGTGGCCGGGGCTGGCGGGGGTAGGGGGACACATGGGGCCACAGGGCCTCAGGTTTGAGCTCTGCCTCCCCAGATCGACCGCTTCATCCCCGTCACCAAGCTCAAGTATTACTTTGCTGTGGACACCATGTATGTGGGCAGAAAGCTGGGCCTGCTGTTCTTCCCCTACCTCCACCAGGTCAGCACCCCCAGGGGAATGTGGGTGTGCGGTGGGCCGGTGGGGGCGGGTGTGGGTTGGGGCCTGAAGATTCACCTCGAGGAAGGGTGGGAGGGGCCTGGCTCTGAGGGTCCTGCCCATTCCCCATCACCACAGGACTGGGAGGTGCAATACCAACAGGACACGCCGGTGGCCCCCCGCTTTGACGTCAATGCCCCAGACCTCTACATTCCAGGTTTCACCCTCCGCCTCCCCTGCACCCCCCCCATCTTCTGGGCCTGTCTGGGGTGGGTGTGTGGGTACCTGGAGACCGAGGGTGATTCCTCCTCTGATGACCAGTGTCTGTGTGCGTGCCTCCCACAGCGATGGCTTTCATCACCTACGTTTTGGTGGCTGGTCTTGCGCTGGGGACCCAGGATAGGTAAGGGAGGCCTGGGACATGCCAAGTAGGGTGGGGTTTGGGAAGCCCATGGTTGGTCAGGAAAATCTCAGTTCCAAGGTCTCAGTTCCCTTCTCGGGAAAGCCCCACCTTGCTCCCAGGTGGCCCAAGATACAGCCCTCAGGATCACCACCAGCATCACCCTCAGCTCCTCCCTCTCCTTCCTGCCCAAACGCCTTGCATCACCACCCCCTGTGCTGGGTGACCCTCTCCATCCACGCTTCCTCTTGGCCTCTACTACCAGACCCATCCTCATCCTCGCTGTGTCCTCACCGGCTCCCCGCTACACCCCTACTCCAGCAGCAGTCAGGATGGTCCTGTCTGAGGTGCAGGCCTGGCCACAGCCCATCCTGCCCCGCCCTGCTGTCCATGGCTCCCAGTCAGGCCCCAGTTCCTGGGCCTGGTGCTGCCTCTCCCACCGCGCGCTCCGGTCCTGTTCCTTTCCTCCAGAGGGCTGGCGCTGTCTCCTGGGACCTTGGCACATCCACTTCCCTCTGCCCGGGAGCATGTTCCCCTCCCCCACTGCCGAGCATGGACTCCATTCCAGCGTCACTTCCTCGGGGAAACCTTCCTGCCCCCCAGGCTAGGTCAGGCCTCTCCTCTTGCTCGCACCGCCCTGTTCACTTCCTTTGTGGCACTGAACACATCTGTCATTAACTGACTGGTGAGGCCCTGGGGATGTGGCCGAGGCCAAGGGCTTTGTCCCTGACCAGGTCCTTCCTGCAGGCTTTGGCTCCGTGTCCTCTCTCCTGGGAAGCCCTCCCTGACACTTGCCTCCTGACTGTGTCAGGCACAGCCCCCTGTGACTCCAGCCCTGCCCACTGTAGGTGTCACTGTCTAGGGAGAGGTCTGCCATCCTCCCTGGATGGGATTTCCATGGGAATAGGATAGTGCCCAGATCCATCTGGGTCACTGCCGGGTGTCCGGCCCCACCCAACACAGGGCTGTCCCCAGGGGGGTGCTGGGAGTCGGCGGTCTGAACAGGTCAACCAAGTGGCAGGATTTGCTGTCTGCAGGTTCTCTCCAGACCTCCTGGGGCTGCAGGCAAGCTCAGCCCTGGCCTGGCTGACCCTGGAGGTGCTGGCCATCCTGCTCAGCCTCTATCTGGTCACTGTCAACACTGACCTCACCACCATTGACCTGGTGGCTTTCCTGGGCTACAAATATGTCGGGTGAGTATCCCTGCCCTTCCTGCCAGCTGCAGCCCTTGGGCCTCGTCCTCACACAGCCTCCTCTCCCTCCCCCAGGATGATCGGCGGGGTCCTCATGGGCCTGCTCTTCGGGAAGATTGGCTACTACCTGGTGCTGGGCTGGTGCTGCGTGTCCATCTTTGTGTTCATGGTGAGCTGGGGCTCAGGGCGGATGAGGCTGAGGGCACAAGCGCCCCGGAGGGCATCCAAGCAGAGGATGTCAGGTGTGGGGTTCAGACCAGAGACACGTTGCTGAACTGAGGGGCCCTGGAGTGGCTGTCCAGCCTCGGGGGTCAGAAGAGGAGGTATCCTGAGCCCTGGAAGAAGAGATGCCAGCCAGGCTGCTAGAGGCTGGGGATCCCCAGCACATAGGCTCCAGGCTGGGCTCTCACTGTCATTCCACTCTCCTTACATGGGGGCTTTCCTGCCAGAGTTTCCCTGGAAGGGGATTCTCTAGAGCCCTTCCAGCTGGAGTCAGGGGTGCTGGTGAAGAGCACTGGGGTCTGCAGGCCAGCCTGGACTCCAAGCTTAGTTGGATCCTTGACAAATCACTTACTCTCTTTAAACTCAGTTTCCCCGTTCGTGAAATGGGATGATGATACTTGCACCCCAAGGTGCTGGGAGGATTCAGTGTGAGCATGTGAGAAGCAGAGGGCAGACCATGTTGGCTGGTGGGCCAGGGCGGACCTTCGGACAAACTTTAAGTGTCATCATTTAAAAGTTTAGGCCAGGCGCGTGACTCACATCTGTGATAATAGCACTTTTTTTTTTATACTGGAGTGCAATGGCATGATCTCGGCTCACTGTGACCTCTGCCTCCTAGGTTGAAGCAATTCTCCTGCCTCAGCCTCCCGAGTAGCTGGGATTACAGGTGCGCACCACCACACCCAGCTAATTTTTGTATTTTTAGTAGAGATGGGGTTTCACCATGTTGGCCAGGCTGGTCTTGAACTCCTGACCTCATGATCTGCCTGCCTCAGCCTCCCGAAGTGCTGGGATTACAGGCATGAGCCACCACGCCCAGTCGATCCCAGCACTTTGGGAGGCTGAGGCAGGAGGATCACTGGAGACCAGGAGCTTGATACCAGCCTGGGCAACATAGAAAGACACCATCTCTAAAATTGTTTTTTTAATTAGCCAAGCGTGGCAGTGTGCACCTGTAGTCCCAGCTACTCGGGAAGCTGTGGTGTGAGGATCACTTGAGTCTGGGAGGTTGAGGCTGCAGTGAACCAAGGGTCACACCACTGCAGTCCAGCCTGGCAGACAGGGCGAGACCCCGTCCTTTAATAAAAATAAAGATAGCATTCCGGTGTGTCTTCAGAAATTGCCATGTGGCAAACATAAGAGGGTGACAGTAGCCAGGGCCACGTCTCCCATGCCCTCAGGCTAGGTGTCCACCGTGAAGTCCCCCTTCACCCGCTCCTAGACCTTGCCTGGCATTTGAGTGTGGAACCTTGTATTTTATTCACAGGGCCTGGGGAGGAGCAAGTCCTCACCCTGTTGGGAGGTTTGGAAACTGAGGCCCCCGGGAGCAGAAACCTGAGGCTGCAGAGGGCCAGGAACTTGTCCCCGGCTGCCTGGGGCTTCTAAGCAGAGGCTGGAAGCGTGTCCACGCTCTCACCCTGGCCCAGAGGGCTCAAGGGTAAACCCCTGATTCCCTTCTTCCTTCCCCCGCAGATCCGGACCCTGCGGCTGAAGATCTTGGCAGAGGCAGCGGCTGAGGGGGTCCCGGTGCGTGAGGCCCGGAACCAGCTGCGCATGTACCTGACCATGGCGGTGGCGGCGGCACAGCCTCTGCTCATGTACTGGCTCACCTTCCACCTGGTGCGGTGAGCACGCTCACTGAGCCTCCCGATGCTGCTGCTGCTGCTGCTGCTGGGGGCCACTGTGGCCGCCGGACTCATCTCCCGCCTGCAGGCCCCAGGGTCCACCCTGTTTGGGCACAGGCGCCGCCCCCATCCCAAGTCCTGCTGAACCCTGCCCCCAACCCAAGGTGCTGAGAGATCTCCAGCTGCACAGGCCACCACTCCAGGGCGTGGCCACTGTTACAGAAACAATAAACCCTGATGGTCATGAGCAGCCTCTCCTTGGCCACCTGTACAGATGGGCAGGGCGCCTGGCTGCCTGCATGGGCAGGCCCAGCCTGGGGCAGGGGGCAGGGAGCTGGGGATGAGCCTGAGCAGGCACCACGCTGACCAGTGGCAGAAGGCAGAGAGGAAGGTTTAATGAGCCCTTCCCAGGCCCCTTCAGTGGGGAGCCTCCTTCTTCTTGCCCTTCTCCTCCTTCTTCTTCACTTTGGGCTTCTTGGTCTTGCCCAGCGTGTTCTCCTGCTGCTTGCAGCCAGCAGCTTGGGGCTGTGGGACCGAGGGCAGGAGTGGGAGAGAAGAGATTGTTCTGGGCTGGAAGTGAGACTGGGGGACCCCCTTCCCCTGGCCCCAGCGCTGGGACGCTTCTCTGGGGTGCAGGGCACATGCTTGGGGTGCTGGCAAGAGCCTCTTACCTTCACATCCGTGTCCGAGTCGCTGGAGCTGCTGCTGGAGTCTGAAGAGCTGTGGCGGCCTTGCTGGATGGAGGTGTGGCAATGAGGCAGGGCCCCTATCCATCCGCTGAAGTTGGAAGCCCACGGCAGACCCTGGGGTCGGGGGCAATCCCACCCGTCCCACCCCTCCACAGCTGGTGGTGAGGCGACTTACCTTTGAACTAGGATCTCCCCCTGCCTCTGATCGGCCCTGAACTTTGTGGGGACTGAGCTTGGGGTCTCCCCCATGGCCCACACCCACACCAGGCTTTTGGGAGGTGGGCTCCAGGGCTGCGAAGAGAAGTTGGGTGGTTGGTGCAGGCAGTGTCTGGGCTTGAGTCCGGCCCCCTGCACCTCCAGTCCACACTCCAGCAGCTCACCTGCTCCCAGGTCGAACTCCATGGCAGTGAGAGATGTGTCCCAAAGGCTAAGGGTCCTGCAGAGGAGGACGGCAGGGGGAGGAGCGCTGAGACCTGCCCATTGGAGGAATGCTGAGCCGCCCCACCCGACCTCTGTCCTGGTCCTCAGCCCTGATTCACTGCGGGCACCACCCAGCGTTTCCTCTGTGAGAAGTAGGGGAGATGGACAGCTGACTGCCACCCCCCAGCCTTGGTGCCTGAGGGGAGGCTGACTGAGGGGGGCTCTGTGGATGGCATTCAGGGAGCTGCAGGTTTCCCCCCAAAGCTCAGATGCTGGTTCTTTAAGAGGGAGGTGCTGCCCCGCCTTCCCGGGTACTGCGACAAAACAGCCTCTTCTGCCCGCTTTAACAAGCCGGGCGCTGCTGCAGGGGCGTCTCAAGTTCTAACTCGCCCCCACAGCCCCTCCACTTGGTGAGCAGCATCTGAGGGGTGAGGGGCGTAGGCTTGGAGCCAGCCTGCTACACTAGATGCCAGCTGTATCACTTAACAGCAGGGTGGCCGGGCGCGGTGGCTCAAGCCTGTAATCCCAGCACTTTGGGAGGCCGAGGCGGGTGGATCACGAGGTCAACAGATCGAGACCATCCTGGTCAACACGGTGAAACCCCGTCTCTACTAAAAATACAAAAAATTAGCGGGGCATGGTGGCGTGTGCTTGTAATCCCAGATACTCAGGAGGCTGAGGCAGGAGAATTGCCTGAACCCAGGAGGTGGAGGTTGCGGTGAGCCAAGATTGCGCCATTGCACTCCAGCCTGGGTAACAAGAGTGAAACTCCGTCCCAAAGGGGTAAAAAAAAAAAAAAAAAAAAAAAAAACAGCAGGGTGACCTCAGGAAAAGTTGCTTCACCTCTGCCTCAATTTCCTCATCTGTAAATGACAGCTACCCCATGGGATTGATGTGAGTCAGATCAGTCAATTTCCTAGAATGGTGTCTGGCATGAAGTATTGATAATGTGTTGGGTTTAAAAATAATAATAAAAGGTAGGTGTCGGCTGACTCCATTTTTGGACTAAGCCCATCCACACCCCGGATGAACAAAAAACAAAAGGTAGGTGTCTTAGGCCGGGTGCTGTGGCTCACGCCTGTAATCCCAACACTTTGGGAGGCCGAGGTGGGTGGATCACCTGAGGTCAGGAGTTTGAGACCAGCCTGGCCAACATGGCAAAACCCCATTTCTACTAAAAATACAAAAACTAGCTGGGTATGGTGGTGGGCGCCTGTAATCCCAGCTACTCCAGAGGCTGAAGCAGGAGAATCGCTTGAACCAAGGAGGCAGATGTTTCAGTGAGTCAAGTTTGCATTCCAGAGTGAGACTCCACCTAAAAAAAAATATATATATATATATGGATATATATATATACACACACGCATATATATATAAAAGATAAGTGTCTTAGTGTGGGCTGCTGTAACAAATATAGACAGGGTGGCTTCAACAGCAAACAGTTCTCACCATCCTGGACGTTGGAAGTCTGAGATCAGGGTGCTGGTAAGTCTGGTTGTCAGGAGGGCCGCTTCCTGGTTCGTGGATGGCCGCCTTCTCCCTGCCTCCCCACATGGCTGAGAGCAAGATCTGTGTTATGCACCCCCCCCTTTTTTTTTTTTGAGACGGGAGTCCTGCTCTGTCACCCAGGCTGGAGTGCATTGGTGCGATCTCAGCTCACTGCAACCTCTGCCTCCTGAGTTCAAGTGATTCTCCTCAGTAGAATCAGGCCTCTTCTCAGCCTCCTGAGTAGCTGAGGTTATAGGCATCCACCACCGCACCCAGCTAATTTTTGTATTTTTAGTAGAGAAGGGGTTTCACCCTCTTGGCCAGGCTGGTCTTGAACTCCTGACCTTGTGATCCGCCTGCCTCAGCTTCCCAAAGTGCTGGGATTACACGTGTGCGGTGTGGGACTACAGGTGTGAGCCACTGTGCCAGCCTTGTGCCTGTTTCTATAAGGGCATAAATCCTATTCATGAGGCCTCCACTGTAACACCTGATGACCTCACAGAGGTCCTACCTCCAAATACCATCACTCAGCTTCGGCACAAGAATTGGGGGAAGACACAAACACTGAGTTTATGGCAGTAGGTACTGTTCCAATGCCCATTTCACGGATGAGAAAATTAAGGCAGTAGGTAAGACGACCAGGGACAAACACAGCATAGGCTGGGTGCCATGGTTCATGGCTGTAATCACAGCACTTTGGGAGGGAAGCCAAGGCAGGATTACTTGAGCCCAAGAGTTTGGAATCAGCCTGGGCAACATACTAAGACTGTCTCTAGAGAAAATTAAAAATTAGCCAGGAGGCTGGGCGCAGTGGCTCATGCCTGTAATCCCAACACTGTGTGTGTGTGTGGGGGGGGGGGGAGGGTTGGGCTCAAGTAAGCCTGCCTTG